AACCCGAGATCGACCTTTGGTTCAGCTGCTGCAGGGTTGGTGAAATTACCGAAAACAAGGGGGAGGGGGGCACCTTCAATGAAAGCATCGATGAGCTTCTGTCGTGGTTCCTCAGAAGGTAACCTTTGCATCATTTGATGTATTTACCTGCATGTACATTAGATTTCCTAGCTCATGAACAATCAGTCGTAATCCAAAACTTTTTCCTGACTCAAACAGATAGCTTAAATGGGGTTGTAATGGTGGTTTCCATGCGGCCTAATTCCAGGGTAGTTCATTCACGTCAGGGTTCCGGCTTCTGAACGGTTTTTTTCCGAACGCTGGCACAAAACTTACCTGTAAAAATGAACGCATAAGTAGTGTTAATTATTCGCCTTGGTTGTCAATGTCTTCGTTAATTCAAATATATTTTCTAGAAGACATGCACAAAATATTCTTTCTCGTCTGGTAGAAAATAACACTTTTTGCAAGTGTATACTTGAAGAGAGGATATCGTTCGGTCTCTAAGAAATTCCTAATTATGAGCTTTGTAAAGACAGTGAAATGTTCGCTCACGATACATCGTATCCGTCAGTTTATTAATGCTGCCTATAAAGTATACAACATGATCCACATCCACTACAAAGTTCCGTACCGTAGGGAAATGAGTACACTTCCCTAGACAGAATCTATACAGCATGCATTTCGGAAGCCTTAAATGAAAGTGCAATGGCCGGTAGGGTACAAGATTATTCGGCAGTTTAGAAACTTTTTAAAACTAAAAGATACCACTTTTCGAATGTATAAAATGTGAAGAGGGAGCAGGTTTTCTGTAGAATGTATTTGATTTTATAGGAAATGCTATTTAAGTGGTCATTTTTACGGAGTATACATTTTTCCGGCGGTGATAAATAAGCTCATTCAAAAGAAAGCATTCTGGCGCGATTGATATATCCTGGGATTAGGTTGCAGACCTATTAATATTACAATCCTACTTAAATAATTTGTTCAAATCGAAACCAAGTTTCGGAATTTGGTTTACATTTCATGAGATAGGAATTCTACTGTATAATGGAACGCATCACAAAGCCTTGCTTTTTACAGCTTGAAACTGGTAATAGACTTTAATCAAGGCGGTATGCGTAACTATTCACTGTCGTCAGAAACACGTCTGCAGGTGGGTTGAGGAATTTCCTTTACACTTGACGACACTTCAGTCCTATTTTTTTACACTGTTCTACAGGTGGTTGTTGGTCACCCACTCGACCTTCCGTCTTTTTCGTCCTCCGCGCTGATGGTACTCTGGAGAGCTGGGACCTCTTGGACAAGACCCACGAGCCAGCTTTGATGCAGAACGTCTCGGCTTCCGCACTCACTTCAATCGCCATCAAAGTTGAAGGCAAGAAACAACTCATGGCCGTCGGTGATATGCACGGAGCTCTCCGTGTGCTGATTGTAAGTTTCAAGAGGACAAAACTATAAACGTATCATTGTACCACAAAATACCGGCAATTGCATTTTGCGTTGGAGTCCCCGGGGTTAGGGCTCACACAGACTGTCGATTTGTAGCTAGGAATTGAAAGGCGAAAATAGTTACCGGCAGTGTCTACTGACCCACTGGGTCCGGGTTCGGCCGTCCAGGGCGCCAGCAGCTAGATTTGGTGCGTCGCTGGCGGATGACGACAGGTAAACCATGATTTACCATTCCCAGGACCTTTCACCGTGTCAATAATATGCTGTTGTTGTAAATCATTATTTTGTGTTGTAGCATGGGAAAGGATCTTCAGCGCATGTATAGGTTTTGCAGTCCGCTTCGCCCCAAAATATTTGTTTTTATACTTTACTGGAGTTAAGTTAGAAAGTCGAACTTTATGGTGACTGTATGTGGAATGCTGATCACCTTGGATTTGTATATGCTAACCTGACTTAATCTGTGCGTAACAGTGTTGAAAAAAGGCCGAAAATCTATTAATTGCCAGTACGGAAAGATGACAAGCCCTGCCGGTAAGGCGGAGAGAGCGGCGCTGTTCCGAAGTCGGATCCATTTGCGCTCTTCTGTCCCACGGGCACACACAGTTAAGTCTTCCACTTATTTTGCCCAATTTTTGGTCAATTCCTTGGTAAGGATAGTGGATGTGTATCAGCATACTGTAACATAACCCTAGAGGGTAGGGTTATGTCGTGAGGTCTTTGAAAGGTCCTTATGTATTATAGCCCCCTACTTAAATTTTTAAGTAGGTTGAATTGCCTACAGTAGGTGACATATCTGATGAAAGGTTGAGGATTGGGGGAGTTAACACAAACTTGAGGTCATTTATTAAGTTCATTGGGTTGGCTTGAGGCGCAAAATGCTGTTTACTAGGATTGAATCCCATTCAGATCAGCATAGTTGGAGAAAATATAGGCGGAAACGGGCGAAACCCAACCCTTGTTGATTTCCAAGGAATTTCCTATGCTACTAAGCGCTGCGGGGAAAAAAAATTCACATTTGTACGTGCTAAAGTATGAAAAAAATTCACAAAGAGCAGAAAATATTTAATTATATTTGTTAACTACAGAGAAAATTTTGTTTTGCGTCCATGAAAT